CACAATCTTGTTGTCAGGTACCGCTGATGAAGTAATCTCGACGCTGTAGCCTTGGGAAAACTGCGACCACTGGTTCCCTGAAATATCAATATCAAGCCATAAACTTAAATTTTGGCGCTTCCGAACTAGGGTAATTGTAGCACTGAACGGCGGTTTATTAAGCTGCCACTCGCACATATTTACCGGTGGATGTCACCCCTTATTTTCATCCGACCCAAAGCGGTGTTTTCGCTCAATCTTCTTTAGCGTGATTGATTAATGCTGCGGAACCACCGGATGTGACTGCAGTTTCATGTTATAGATGAAGCCAACATGGACTTCAAGCCTGGGCGTCGAAAAGATGCAGATGGCTGATGCTTGAATATTGACCAAGCGTTCTCGTGAGCGCGATCGTGGGTCCTGCCACCAAGAGCCGCAATGTTGGATAAGAAGGCATTTGGCTCTGGGTTATGGACAGATAAGAAAATACTTTTATTGTCTAACGCTCCATCAACAGCACTCTACAATTCAAATACCCGAGCCCAAGCCCCTGGTTTCGCTATAATGACATTAAGGTTGGTACGTGCTGTGTGCTGTTTTAAAATACTCATGTGTACTCTTGTGCTCAAACTACCCTGCATAAGTCTATGGTAAAGTAAGATATCCAATAATTAAAACCCGGAGAACTCTGAAGTTTTAAATTGCTTTGTAATGGGCGGTTGGCTAACCATTTCTCTTTGATTCGTTTCATATAATTCATGTAGTCCTGTATTCCACTTGGGCTATTTGTTTAAACAGTGAATACACTTTTATACTATGCGAGTCCAACTACGACAACAAGAAGATTATTGGCGATATGTATTTAGCGTCTGATGCGCCTGCACCTCAGTTGCAGCATCTGCGCTTAACTGCCAGCTACAGTTTCTTTGGGTAACATTCACGCGGGTTAATTTACTCCGGTTTTGTCGTAGTTTGTCGTGGTGTTACGCTTGGCCGTCACCAACAACATCCACCTGGATGACATCACTTGATCAAGGGGTTATAAATATACATCAACAAAAAACTGGCTTCTGGTTGTCTGTTTGAATGGTGCTACTTAGAAATTAGTTCTTGATTATAGTAGAGGTGCCGTCTTCGAAAAAGCTGAACTGAAATGTTATGCAGGCTCAGAAGAAAACA